CGACTACTACATTTTGGGACAGTGTGTCAACACAAGAGGATTGATGAAGAATGGCATGCTGACTCATATAAGACTGAAAAGAACTCGAAAAATATTCTTTGGCATTATTGCTCCTTAATGTCTAGACAAAAGTATTAAATTGAGTTTTAACTTCAGCACAAAAGGCACAAAAATTAGAAAACAACTCAGAACAATTTTTCATTAAATAAAGCCAAGTTACACGAGAGTTGTCATCAACAAGGTAACAAAATATTTAAATCTAGGTTTAGATATAATAGAACACGAACCCCAAACATATGAATGAACTAATTCAAACGGGACACTGGCCCGTTTATTGACTCTTGGACTTGAAGAAAAATGGTGGTGTTTGGCAAATTGACATGACTCACAATCTAATGAAGATAAATTATTAAACTGAAGACATAGTTTCTTTAACAATGGTAAAGAAGGATGTCCTAACCGACAATACACCTCAAAAAGGGTCGAAATACTAGAATATGCAATGGTTCTGGGAACCTGTGTGTCAAGGATGTAGAGCCCTCTAGATTCATGTCCTTTACCAATAATCTGCCTCATCGTAAGATCCTAAAACAGGCAATGATCAAGGAAAAATGAGATGCAACATTTAAGAGCACGAGTGAGTTTACTCACAGAAATTAAATTAAAAGTGAACTGTGATAGACTCAATACAGAGGATAGGGAAATTAACAGAGTAGGGTTAACAAACCCAGACCCAAGAACACGAGAAGTTGACCCATCAGCTAAAGCAACATTAGACAAGGAATTATGTGACTGATATGTTGAAAAGAGACTAGGATTACCTATCATATGATCTGTGGCACCAGAATCAATGACCCATTTGGAGAATGAGGAAATAAGACATATATTTGGTTTACCTAACTCGGCGAGAGCAGTGATGGAAGTAGATGAGGACTTCAATGATTCTTGATACTGAGAAAACTTGGCAAACTCATCAGTTGAAATCATAACCATCTTCTTAGAAGTATCAGTATTAGCAACATGAGCTGACTGAGTTTTAGGCCTTATTTTGCAACTTTCTACACGTGTGCTTTGTATGATCGGGTTCATGACAGTAGTAGCACACAATCCTTCCTTACTCATGACTCTGATTATCACGATTATTCGAACCCCCTCCTCTATTATTGCTCCTGTTATATGAATGTCCAATGTCATTATTCTGACTTACAAGAGCATTACTCGACTGAACAGATGGAGTGCTTTCTACACGAGGAACCCTAGTAAATAAATCTTGGAGGGAGGTGATCTCATAACTGGCGAGAACCTAAGATTTAGCAGATTCAAACTCAGAAGGGAGTCCAGCTAGGAAACACATAACTGCCATTTTCTCTCGTTGAGCTTGTTGAACTTTCACATCAGCACTCACCAGTAAAAGGACGTTAAGTTCTTCATATATCCTTTTAAAGTCCATAAAATAGGCCGTAAGAGACCTATCTTGTTTCTCAACTTGATAAAAGGCTTTGCATACATCAAAAATACGAGAAACATTCCCTTTCCTAGAATACAAAAAATCTAGATAGTCTATCAGCTTTTTCACATATTCACAATGATTAATTAAACCAAGTATCTCACTGTTGATGGAGTTCCGTATTTGCAAGACAACGAAGCATCCTCTCTTAACCATATTAGCTTTGAATTGTCTTCAGACAGATCTTTTGTGAGATGATCATCTTTACCAATGCTTCGCAGGTAGAGATGAATTGTCTTACTCCAATCAAAATAGTTATCAGACCCATTAAACTTATGTTACATAATTTTTGACATTACAGGAACCATATCAGTTATAGGCTTATCAATCATGGTAAGAAGACGAAAAATTGATCTTAACACAAATAGCCAACACAACTTACAAACGAAAATCAACAAACTGACCTCAACACAAATTGCCAACAAAACTCTTCAAAACCAACAGAAATCAACAAAATTGATCTGACCTGGCTGAGATACTGAGGAACTGATCACGCAGACTTGCTGGAAATATCAAGACGAAGCTGGGAAGGGTGATCGGAGCACTGTCCTCCATCACACACACCCCCACGCGTCAACGCATGAATACTGTCTCAAATGAAAAAGGTGGCACGTGAGACTCATGCGCTACTCCTCTGGTGACCAAACTTCAGGGAATGTTCGATCCATAGGAGGGGTTTCTTCCTAAGCAAGCGATGAGATAAAAAAAAAAAAAAGGTCACTCTCCAGGGTGACTCACAAAGAATGCTCACTTGGGCAGAGAAAAAGAAAACGAAATTGAGAAACAACCTAGAATTGCTCTGATGCCATGTTACAAACAGAGAACTGGTTGTAATTTTGTCATATCTGTATTGATAAATTATACATCAATATATAGGAAATAAAGAACTAATCTAGGAAATGAATAATCTAACTTCCTATTTTATAGATTTGTTCCTAATATATATTGATTACAATCCTAATGTCCTATTATAGATTTATACACTTAATCATGCAATATCTGTAAGATTTTGCATGATTATCTACAACAGTTGGAAATTAATTGATGAACAGAAGAATCACTACATAGCTGCTAAAATTAGCTACAGAAAGGAAAATTGTAGCTAATACATATTTACAGCTATAAAAGTCAATATTTTTGCTACAAGCTTATTATTGTTATGACAAAAACATTTAAGTTTTTAGTCACATATTAATCTCATTCATAGCAAAAAGTTACATGGCTAACTTTTAGCTGCGCCACTTCTAGGTACGATAAGCTACAAAACATTGCATTTGTAATTAAACCATTTAGCTATGCAAATTCATATTTTTAGCTACAATGAATGGCATGGCTAGAAATGCATAATGTTGTAGTGAATACAAAACTACACCCATGAAACATGTCTACCTTGCAAGAATTCCAAGTATACACATTTTCAACTCGCAAGCTGTATTCTGCAATTCATCTAGCTTCTAGATTTGTAATTGTTACATCATTAATTGATTAAGTGCTCCCTGAATGACCTTCCAACTGCGTTACAGATTTGTTTCGTTCATTGCGTTTTGAGAAAGCAGGCTTCTTTGAAATCATCATATCTATGGTTTTAGTTTTGAGCATAGTGAAAACTTCCAACATGGATGGTCTATCAATTGGATTTTCTTGGACACATAAGAGAGCTATATGCAAGCATCTCACTAATTTACATGATGAAGATGTATCATCTAGTGATTCATCCATAAATTCCATGGCTTTACCATTAATCCACAACTCATATGCCTAAAAATTATCAAATAATTTATTTTAGTGCTAAAACCTGAATACTTTTCATCCATAGATCTTAAAACCAGCTTCTAACAAAATTAACTTACATAGTCCAGAAGGGTCAAACTTTCACTCGGACCATATAAATGGGAAATCCTTTTGCCACTTATGATCTGTAGAAGTAGAACCCCAAAACTATAAACATCGGATTTAATTGAGTATATGCCTCTTCTAGCATATTCAAGAGGAACATAACCACTATGTCAGATTATTACAAAACAATGACAAAGTTATTAATTATATAAAACAAGCAAAAATCTTGAGACAATAATATAGCATTAAGAGTAGTGATACTTATAGTGTTCCGACAATACGTTTTGTGTTTACTTCGAGATCATCCTTTGTAAATATTCTAGCCATATCAAAATCTGATATTTTGCCTTCATATCTCTATCTAATAAGACATTGCTAACTTTTATATCTCGATGAATAATAGTCAATCTTGAGTATTCTTGAAGATACACAAGCCCTTGAGTAATCCCTTCAATTATTTGAATACGTTTTTCCCAATCCAAAATATATAGTCTAACAGGATCTATATATATAAATGTAATAATGAACCGTCAGTCTTTAAGGCAACAAAATGGCTAAAACAAAAGCATAAACTTGCAAATAAAATTCTGACCAAAAAGGTAATAGTCTAAGCTTTTGTTGGACATGTATTCGTAGACAAGTATCTTTTCTTCTTTATCAATGCAAAACCCCAAAACTCAAACAAGATTTACATGTTGTAGCCTTGCTGTAAGCATAACCTCATTCTTGAATTCCTCATATTCTTGAGAGGAGGTTTGTGCAAGTTTCTTCACAGCTATTTCCTGTCCACTTGGTAGTACACCTTAGCAATATACAAACTCTAGCATTTTCTATTCCTTAAAAGGTTAAATTAAAATTATGCCCTGCGAAAATTACATTAAAACTAAAGAATAAAGAGTTAAGCACATGAAAGTGTTGTTCTTAATATGATAAAAATCCTAATAAGGTATTGTACCTTGTAAACAGGGCCATATACACCCTGTCCAAGCTTTTTTTAATTGAAAATCCGTTGGTAGCTACCTCAATATCAACCAAAGTATATTCTACAAGATCAGGAATATTGCTGTTAAAATCTCCACCTGCAACTCCTGTAATTACTTTATCTTTGGGTTGTTTAGTGGAGTCCACCGTTCCTGTCAACCAAAAAAAAAAAACGAAGAAATAAATTTGTTAACTTCCTTATTCATTGCGATAAGACAATTTAATCATCAAAAAGTTTTAAATGAAACATTAACTCATATAAATTGTGAAAATTAAAACTTACATTTTAATATGAGCTTTCTCCTCCAGCAGAAACACACTACAAATATTCCTAGTAGAAGAATAACAGCTGCTGCAGTAGACAAAAGGATTACTGACAAACTTCTCTTATGTTGCCCCTTTTTATTATCCTCGTGAACCGAAGAATCATTTGTACGCACCTCAGCTGGAAAATGCTCAAAATGTTACAATTAACTACATTGCAATATACGTTATAATTCTTTAGCCAGGATATTTTGATATTAATTTTATCATGAGCATGCTTAATCAACTAGAAGCCAAATAACCAATTCGTACTAAGAGTGAAGCATTAATTGTACTTACCTGCAGCTCGAGAAAGTACCCAATTATCATCATAGGAAACCTCCCATGCAGAGTAGCCAAGTAGCTTCTTCTTTTAGGCATAAGCAACCTTAGCCCTAACAGCTTCAACATCATCAAACCCAATCCAAGTTGTTCCCTTTGTCCAGTAATTAACCACATTAGTTGAGTTGTACAAAACATGAACATCCGGACCATTTCGCTTTGTGTAATTCTTGATTTCTTTGTGTGTAAGAAATCCAGTTCCATCAACAGCTGGTCCTTTTGCTGGCGCACCAATACCATTGTTTATAGGGTTCTCAAGCGTCCACGCGGAGCCATAGAAAGGCAAACTCAAAACCAATTTATTAGCTGATAATCCTCCAATGATCCAATCTCTTATACCATAATCCGTATTAAGATAACTACTAGGGTCATACAAAGCTGCATGAGCGCTTGTAAGGTTGCTCGAAAGAGGTTGAGTGTAATTACTAGAAATAACATGGACCAATTCTGTTTTATCATCTGTACAGGGTAACCTTGTAGAGATATCAATGTTGAATATCTAACTTTTGCTGTCAAGATCAGTTGCGAGTTGTTAGAGCTTCTTGCCTCTAAATCAATAGCAGCCCTCCACTCTTGAAAGAGAACTCCCATATTGAACATATCACCGCTTGTGTCTGGATATTGCCAAGCGAAGTCTAGGCCTTGAAAACCATAAAGTCTCGCTATTTTTATCGAGGAATTGATGAAGGATTTTCTGAGAGAAGGATTTTCTGAGAGAAGGATTGCTTACCATGGAAGAAAAGGTTGAATTATTTCCATTTTCACCCCCAATAGATAGCAATGTTGTGACCGATGAGTTCTTTTGTTTGACAGTATGTGTGAAGGTGGAGAAATGTTATTGGTCACCTGGCGATAAAGAGAGTTGGTAGGAGGTGGAATTCACAGCAGCATAAGCACAAATTATGTGAGTGAAGAGAGTAAAATTTATGTACGGGATCGGGAACTCATTTGATGGACGGTAATAACCAACCCTGATCCAATTAGTTTGCGCTATTGAAGGGCGCAATTTTATAGAGAAGAAAATATAGAAAATGACAATGGTGATAATCTTGGCCACCATTTGAAAGAACTTTTTATCTTTTAGCTATGTTACTTGTATATGTTTATCAAGTGTGGCGAAAGAAAGCTCTGTTAAATTTGTTGCGGACATGATTGAAGGTGGAAACTTCAACATTAGCAAATGCTACATCACAAATTGGAAAGCAAAAGTCTTGATGCTAATAATTTAAGATTTTGGCTTGTTGAGCCGGCCTTGTTGACCACCGAGGAAAATTTTGAAATTTTACTTATAAATTAAATATATCAACTTTATCACATAAAATTTACTATTTTTTGGCCCCCTTATTTCTCTAACCATCCTTTCTGTTGGAGTTGTCGACTACTTCAGCATTAATGGGTAACGGAGACGCACTAGGGGGTCGCGGGGGCAGCGCCCCCGAGCCCGTAGGCGGTTTTGGGCTTTTCCATGAATAACCGCTGTATGATTTCTTTTAAGTTACTAATTCCTTATTGGATTGGGCTTAGGAATAGGAATCCTTGTAAAACTAGGTTTAGTCTCTTAAACCTAGTATATAAACATACTTTTCTCTTGTTATGTGTGTGAGAGCAATTCATTCATTGTGAACGAGAGAGGTGAGGCATATTGCAATAATATTGACTCAGCTGGACGTAGCCCACATTGGGTCAACCAGGGTAAATCGCGCGTATTATTTTCTTTGTTTACTGTTTGATTTGTTTTACTATTATATTTTGTTCCGGTTGTTATCTCTATTTCGTTCAATTCGTATCAGAGCAAGGTTTTGTTAGATTGTGAGTTAGAGATGGCAGGATCAAAGGTTGAGATTGAGAAATTCGACAGCAAATGCTTCGAGCTTTGGAAACTGCGGATGGAGGATCTACTCGTTGATATGGACCTGTGGGGTGCAATTGTGAATGATAGGCTGACAATCGGGACTGCCATTGTTACTACAAGTGAAACGTCTGGAACTGCATTGTCAAGTACGCTTAGGTCTAAACCTGCTGAAGGAGAATTATCAGCGACTGATCATGCCGCACTTGTTGAATGGGACAAGATGGATCGGAAAGCCAGAGGTTTGATTCGCATCTGTCTTGAGGACTCTGTTCTAACGAATGTGATGGATCAGGATACGGCTAAGGGTTTATGGCAGAAGCTGGAAAATATGTATCTGAGTAAGTCTTTGGTGAACATGTTGTTCCGTCGCAAGAAACTCTACAATCTTCGTATGCATGATGGGGATTCTCTTGCTGCACATCTTGATGAGTTTAATACTCTGGTGAATCAACTGCTGGCTGTGGATGTACAACTCACCGAATCTGAGAAAGTGGTAACATTGTTATGCTCGCTGCCTGATACGTGGGACAACCTGATTGTTGCGATTGGTGGTGGAGGACTGACACAGATGTCATGGGAATCTGTATGTTCTACATTATTGGCATAGGATATGCGGCGAAGAGGTTCAGAGGGTTCATCTAGGGATGCTTTAACTGCTAGGGGACGAAACCTTAATAGGAATTCTAATAAGTCTGGCGACAGGGGAAAGTCGCGAGGTAGATCTAAGAGCAAGGATAAAAGTAAGATTAAATGCTGGAGATGTCAGGAATTTAGGCATTTTAAGAAAGACTGCAGAAACAAACCAGTGAAGGGGAAGGAAGCTGAAACTTCGTACAAACGGGAATCAAACGGTGATATGTATGTGGCTGCTGCATGTATGGCTGGATCAGACCAATCAGTCCGGTATGTTGATACTGGTGCGTCATTCCATATGACACCTCACAAGGAATGGTTTTGTGAGTATGAGACATACAATGGAGGAAACGTTCTGTTAGGAGATGATACTGCTATGAAGATTATTGGTCGCGGGAAAATCAGGCTGAGGTTGCATGATGGTTCAGTGAGGACACTCCTTGAAGTGATGCACATCCCTGGTATGAGTAGAAATCTGTTCTCTATTGGAACAATGGCTGACGCAGGCATAGTTTTCAATTGTGACAGAACATCTTATAAGATGACTCGGGGATCTATGGTTATTGCACGAGGAGTTCGACATGGTACACTATACAGGCTGCAAGCATCAGTTGTAAGAAATTCCTCTTTGGGTGGTTATGTTTTGGAAAAGGAGGCTGAAAAAGAAATTGATTCTGCAACATTGTGGCATCAGCGAATGGGGCACATTGGAGAGACGGCTTTGTCTACTTTGATGACTCAGAATATGGCTGAAGGTATTCCAAAACGGTTCCATGAGTTTTGGGTTTTGTGAGGAATGTTTACAAGGCAAGTAGAATCGGGTTAGTTTTCAATCGACAGGCACGAGAGCAACAAAAATACTGGAGTTAATTCACAGTGATGTTTTGGGCCCACTCTAGTGGAATCTGTTGGAAATCCAGGTATTATGTATCTTTCATTGATGATTTTTCTAGATACTGTTGGGTTTATTTCATGCGCACAAGTCTGAGGCTTTTGAGAATTTCAGGATTTAAAGCCTTAGTTGAGAATCAGTTTGATAGGAAGATTAAAGCTTTGCGAACTAATATGGCAGTGAGTTTTGCTCTAGTAAGTTTGCGCAATTTTGTGCGACACCCGGAATTGCAAGGCAGAAAACTACACCTTACACGCTCAGCAAAAGAGTGGTTGAAGTCTCAATTGGCCACTATTAGAGAAGGCTAGATGTATGTTGAATATGACAGATTTGGGGCTTGAATTTGGGCTGAAGCTACCGCAATGGCTTGTTATTTGAAGAATCGGTCTCCCACTTCTTTGTTAAAGATATGACGCCGTATGAAGCTTTGTATGGTAAGAAACCTAATCTGTCTTTATTCGAGTTTTTGGTTGTGATGTGTATGTGCAGTGCCAAAGGAGAAGATAAGCAAGCTTGACAGTAAATCTGAGAAGTGCAAGTTTGTGGGGTTCAAGGAGGCATCAAGGGAACAAGTTGTGGAATCATATGAGTAGAAGCATTATTACAGCAAAGATGTAATCTTTAGAGAGGTAAAACAACGTGTGGGAACTCCTGAAGATCTTGAGCAGTCAAAAAAATTCAGTTTGATGTGACTACAGTAGAGCAAGAGGAGGAGATGACTCCTAATGTTGCTGCAGAGACTGAAAATTTAGGTCTACAGAATCTGACCATGGAGATAAACTTGATAGTGTGGCTGATGAGGGTTCTGTAGAGATTCTGAGGATGATTCTGATGATGAAGTTGTGGTGCCATCAATTGAGGAGATCTACAAGAGTTAGAAAGGCACCAGTTCATTTCTCTCTAAGTGCCTTGAGTGGATTACATGCTTTGAATGTGATTGGTGATGAACCTAGGAATGTAAATGAAGCAAGAGCCATGGAAGATGCAAATCTGTGGGAGGTTACGATGAATGATGAGAGCAGTCACTGGACAAGAATAGTACATGGACCCTAGTAAATTGCCTAAGGATAGAAAGGCAATTGGTTGCAAGTGGGTGTTCAAAAGAAAGTTGCAGGCAAATGGGACAATTGCAAAGTATGAGTCGAGACTGTGCAAAGGGATTCTCGTAGATTAAGGATGTTGATTATGGTGAGAGTTTCTCTCCTGTGGCCAAGTTAACATCAATCGGGTATGTCTATCTATTGCTACTGCGTATGATCTTGAAATTGAGCAACTTGATGTAAAGACCACATTCTTACATGGAGATTTAGAGGGGGAAATTTACATGAGCAACCTGAGGGGTTTGTATGTAAGGGAAGGAAGAATTGGTGCGTAGGTTGAGGAAGTCTCTGTATGGACTTAAACAATCACCAAGGATGTGGTACCAAAAGTTCGACCTATGTTCTTCAGCATGGTTTTAGCTGCAGCAACGTGGATCACTGTGTGTACGTAAAAAGGTTAGAAAATGTCTTTGTTATTTAACCTTATATGTAGATGATATGTCTGATAGGAAATAGCAAGAAGTTGAAATTCTGTGAGGGTTTGTTGGCTGCACAATTTGACATGAAGGATCTTGGGGCTGCAAATTTTATTTTGGGTATGCAAACTACTAGAGATCGTCAGAGTGTAAATTGTGGTTAGGGCAGAGAAAGTACATCGAGGAGGAGTTGAAGAAATTTAACATGGTAGACTGCAAACCTGTGAAGACTCCTATGACTTTGGGAGTGAAATTGTATACTGATCAGTGTCCTAAGTCTGAGGAAGATGCGAAGAAATGACACATGTGCGTATGCGAGTGCTGTAGGTAGTTTGACATATGCCAGGTGTGCACGTGACCCGATATTGCACAAGCAGTGGGGGTTTTGAGTGCTTTATGTCAAATCCTGGTAAGGAGCATTGGAGTGTTGTAAAGAGGGTTCTTAGATATCTTCGTGGGACCTCGGATTATCATTATGTTATGGAGGCATGGCGACTGGGGATGAGTAGATGTGATAGGTTTGTGGATGCTGATTGGGGAGGTGATCTCGATAGTAGGCGTTCCCAAGTGGGTATGTATTCTCTTTATTTGGTGCGTGCTGTTTGTTGGATGAGTACAAGGCAAAGTACTGTGGCTTTGTCATCGATGGGCAGAATACATGGCATGACACATGCTGGCAAGGAAGCATGTGGCTTCGAAGATTGAGTTTAGAGCTTGGTTTCAAGCTTGATGCTGTGAAGATTAGGTGTGACAATCAAGGGGCTATTTACTTAGCCAAGAATCCTGCCTTTCATCGTGATCAAAACACATTGACATACAATATCATTTCATCAGGCAAAAGGTGGAGGAAAAATTGGTGTTGTTAGAGAAGGTTGATCAATTGTTAATGCTGCAGATTTTCTACCAAGTCTGTGAGCTTAGCAAAGTTTACATGGTGTGTTGATGAGGTAGGCCTTCATGTGTGAAGTATTCGAAGTGGGAGAATGTTGGAGTTGTCGACTACTTCAGCATTAATGGGAACGGAGACGCACTTGGGGGTCGTGGGGGCAGCGCCCCCGAGCCCGTAGGGGTTTTGGGCTTTTCCATGTATAACGCTGTAGGATTTCTTTTAAGTTACTAATTTCTTATTGGATTGGGCTTAGGAATAGGAATTCTTGTAACTAGGTTTAGTCTCTTAAACCTAGATATAAACATACTTTTCTCTTGTTATGTGTGCGAGAACAATTCATTCATTGTAAACAAGAGAGGTGAGGCATATTGCAATAATATGACTCAGCTGGCGTAGCCCACATTGGGTCAACCAGGGTAAATCGCGCGTATATTTTTCTTTGTTTACTATTTGATTTGTTTTATATTATATTTTGTTCCGGTTATTGTCTCTATTTCGTTCACTTTCAACCCCATAAATGAAATTTTCTGATATCGCCAACTTATGTGTATTCTTTTGTTTCAGATTTTCGTGAAGGTGGAGAAGTGTTCTTAAAAAATTAGTGATGAATAGATCTTATTTTTTCAATAAGGCTAACAAGAAAAAATAGGAGTCCTTACTCTTTAATTATAAAGAATTTCATAATTACTCAATTATTAATTGAAAATAGATTAATTTATATCACCAATTTAGGTCCACACATGAATGCTTATCATATAAGTAAAAGTATAGGGACTATCCCAAAGAGTAGTTGAAGTACACATAAGTTAGTTTAGATACCTTGGTTAAAAAAAGTATAAGGACGCCTAAGAAAAGAAAATAACAAGGTGGTAATCTGGCACCATTGAAAAGAACTTTTATCTGTTAGGTCTTGTATGTTACATGTAATGCTTACCAGACAGCTCTGTTAAATTTGTTGCCCGACGTGATTGATGGTGGAAACTTCAACCTCCGCAAATGAATCCAATCAAGTCAAAAAGAGGATGGAAACTTGCGTCTGAAACAGATTGCAGAAATTCTATTGGTCATAAGTAATAATTGTATATAAAGAATATTTTTTCTTATAATACTAGTCTTATAAAGCTTGTATACAAAGTATAATGTGTCTGATTAGGAGAGATGAAAATGTAAAAAAACTTATTAAAGATAAATAATTTATCAATTAGAGGGCAATGCTACATCATGAAATTTCTAAACGGATACTTATTACAAACTTTCGTCCTCCACAAAAAGACTTTGACTTGGTGGCTGAGGCAGGCGGACCAACATTATGGCTTGTTGGGCCACGGTGACCACCGAGGAAATTTTAAATTTTTACTTATTAATAATTAAATATATCAATTTTACAACATAAATTTTTGGCCCCCTTACTTCTCTAACTTTACCTTCAACCCCAAAAATTGCAATTTTCTGATTCCACCAACTTATGGATATTTCTTTTGTTTCAGAGTTTCTGTGAAGGTGGAGAAATGTTCTTCAAAAACTGGTGACGAAGAGATCATTATTGGTTTTCAATAAGGCTAACCAAAAAAAAAAGGAGAATTTAATTTTTAATATAAATACTCAATTTATTATCACCAATTTCAGGTCTACACATGAGTTGCTTACCATATAAGTAAAAGTAAAAATTATTAGAATCCAACTTGCCTTGGAAAGTAGACTAAACGACTTGGACCATCCACCATAACGCCTTGACTACGAAATAAAAACTTATGAACCTAATAATATTGTAGACCAAATTCACTATAAAGACTCTTAACTTCAAGACAACGTTCTTAGAGTCTTGCTTTATTAGGCTTATAAGTCAAATGTATCAGCAACAATAACCACGTCAAAGTCTTTTAGTGGTCATAGTAATCTCCAAAATGGTGGACTTAGAAATTTACATAATTAGCTCTTTATAATACTATTTGAAAATACCAAATTTAAAATTTTAATACTAAAAACACGAATTTTTTTTTTTTCTTATTTCAATAAGTAATTCCAAGTGTAAGGTTAAAAATAAAATAATAATAGTAAAGAAATGGAAATGAAAACTAAATTATGATTACAATAGATCCGTTAAAAATCTTTAATGAGATTTTATTATAAATAATGATAATAATTTAATAAAATAAAATAGATAAACAAAAGATAAATTAGTGTATGATATTAAAAAAAAAAAAATTGTGAGGTAAGATATATATTATTTTTAAATTTGAAATAAAGATAAATACTAAGGGAATCAATTTTTTAAAGGCGGCACCATGTAATTAATTAAGAAAATAACAGGTTTCCTTGTGAATTTTCGATTTTATACTTTAACTTATATGATATCTAACTCATATGTGGACCTCAAATGTGATGATAAGAAATCTATAATTCAATAAATAATAGAATAATATGGCGAAGGGTATTTATAAGATGGAATCAGAAATTTGCAGTTAAGGGGTTAAAGTGTACTTTTGAACAATAAGGGGGCTGAAAGGAGAAAAAGATTTAATGTGGTAAAATTAAGATATTTATTTAGAGGTAAATGTTCAAAAGTTTCCTTCCACTTTGGTTGTCATGGCCCCACAGGCCATAATGTTGGTCTGCCTCTGGCCCAACCAAGTCAATGCTGAAACCAAGTCAAGGTCTCTCTTCATTGATTTTCGAATTTTGCTGCATCATTTGATTAATGTTTGAATATATTATTACATTTATACTGATATATAATCTTTTGCATAAAAATTTATATAATAGTAAAAGGAAAAAGAGTTCATATAATAATTTGATATCATATACTAAGAAAAAAATATTAATATAATAGTTTATATAAAATTCGTATATGTAGCATATGTTTGCTACGGTTTATTCGAGTATTGCTTATAGAGAAAGAGTTTGTATGAATTAATTGTTTGGTTAGAAAAATGTAAAAGAGCTTTTTATTGTTAATTTATTAAAAAGGACTATAATAAACAAAAATTATTTAAGTCAAATATATAAAATAGGAGGATATTTTTTAAATTACAACAATTTAAATAAGTTGAAAAAAAGTTAATAGAAAAAGCTCAAGTTTTGAGTTTTTTCCATAAGTTGTACAATGACTTATTTTGAATCATACAAGCGTTTTTGAAATGATATTAAACAAGCTAAAAAAATTAGAAAAGTGTTTACAGTTTTAAATAAGTTTTTTTGGTCAATAGATAAGCTCAACCAAACATGCTCGTAACATTAATCCCTTTCCAGTAGCAAAATTTCCACCATCTTTTTTACTTGATTAGCGAAATTAACACCATCTTTTTGACTTGATTTGATTTCATGTGTGAAGGGTTGAGGTTTGCACCATATACAAACTAGTGTGTACAAGAAATTTAAGAGAGCTTTCTTCTCCACTTAATAAGCATATATATATATATATATAACACAGAAGAGATAAGCTAATAGATAAAAACTTGAGCTTCAAGCAGCTTTTCAAATGGTACCCAAGATTATCCTCAGTGTTGTTTTCTATATATTCCTCTCTATACAACTGCACCCATCAATGGCTCAAACTAATTGGATCAGGGCTGGTTTTTACGAGTATAACCAATATGAGTTTCCCGTTTCGGAGATCAATTTTGCTCTCTTCACTCACATTATTTGTGATTATGCTTCTGTGAATTCTACCTCCTACCAGCTCTCTTTATCACCAGCTGATGACCAACATCTTTCAGACTTCACACATACTATAAAACAAAACAACCCATCAGTCACTACAGTGCTATCTATTTATATCAATGGTGATGCAACCTATTCTACAATGGTAAGCACTTCTTCTAACAGAAAATCCCTCATCGATTCCTCCATTAAAATAGCCAGACGTTACGGTTTCGAAGGTCCAGGCACAAGTATTGATATGTTCAATATGGGAATTCTCTTTAAAGAGTGGAAAGCGGCTATTGATTTAGAGGCAACAAACTCTAGCCGGTCTGCACTGATCTTGACGGCAATGGTTTATCATACACCAAAGATTTATTCAACAAGTTACCCTATAGAGTCGATACAACAACATTTGGATCGGGTTCATCTTTTTGTGGATTACATTTACAATGATCCTAGATGGGGCAACCGTACGAGCACTGAGGCATCTCTGTATGATCCATATAATTTTGACAATGCGGATTTCGGCATAGCAGAATGGATCGACGGAGGATTATCGGCTAATAAAATCGTGTTCTTTTTACCTTTCTATGGTTTTGCATGGAGGCTGGAGAATCCTATGGACAATGGTATTGGTGCACTGGCAAAGCAACTTCCCACTAATTTGGAGGGCGGAATTGTAGCCTATAAGGAAATCAAGAATTACATTGAGCAATATGGTCCTGATGTTCATGTTAGATACAACTCAACTTATGTGGTGAACTACTGGACAAAGGGAACAACTTGGTACTGCTTCGATGACGTTGAGGCGATTAGAACTAAGGTTTCTTATGCCAAGGAGAAGAAGCTACTTGGCTACGTTGTGTGGCAAATCTCCTATGATTATAATTGGATCCTTTCCAGTACTGCAGGTAAGCTACGATTAAAGTAAACAAAGTACTCCATGAATTAGGATTTATTGCGTCACCTGTAGTTAACATATTGATTATTTTTCAGCTGAAGTGGGCATAACTGATTCTTCAGGTCAGGATAGTAGAAAGGGACAAAATGATAAGAGGCAATTGTTAGTAATCCTTTTGTCTACGATAGCTGCTTTTGCTCTTCTATTAGGAATATTTGTGATATTTTACTGCTGCAGGAGAAATCTCAGATTCAAAGGTAAGTTTCTCAAGAATTTATAAATACTGTTTTACTTAAAATAAGTAAGCAGTTTAATATTATTATTTTTTTTATAGGGTTTTTGGTGAACTCCACTAAGGAATCCACTGATAAAGCAAATAAAGCAGCATCCGCTGGAGACCTTAATACCAACATTCCTAATCTGACAGAATATCAATTGGGTGATATAGAGGCAGCCACCAATGGATTTTCAATTGAAAATAAGCTTGGACAGGGTGGATATGGCCCTGTTTACAAGGCAAGTTTGGTTACAGTATTTATCATTAACCATTTTAGTCTTTTGTTTAATGTAATTTGCCAATATATAGTATTATCAGAATTAGCTGTATCTATTGAAAGGTACCAACCAACAATACTGTCTTCTGTTCGGGAACACTACCAGATGGACAGTTAAAAGCATTGAAGAAACTTTCAAAAACATCCACACAAGGATTTGAAGAATTCAAAAATGAGGTTATGCTTACTGCCAAGCTACAACATGTAAATCTTCTCCAAGTTTTGGGTTTTTGTATTGATAGAGAAGAACAGATACTCATCTACCCATACATGCAAAACAAAAGCTTGGACACTTACCTATTCGGTTAGAACTTTATGTTCATCTTTTGTACATCTACTTGCAATTTTTTTCTTTTTTTATATTAGCTTGTAGCAGTTACATTATATGATTAGTTTATGATTAAAATTGATGCAGATCCCATAAGAAGGTTAATTTTGGATTGGGAAAAACGCATACATATTATTGAAGGAGTTACGCAAGGCCTACTATATCTCCAAGAATACTCAAGGTTAACTATTATTCATCGAGATATAAAAGTTAGTAATGTCTTATTGGATGGAGAAATGAAACCCAAAATATCTGATTTTGGCTTAGCTAGAATATTTGCAAAAGATGATCTTGATGAAGCAAACACAAGCCGTATTGTCGGAACTATGTAAGTGTATTTACTCATCCTACTTTATTATTCTCAATTTTTTACTTTCTAAAAAATAAATTTAGTTAGTCACACTAAACATTATAATTATTCATTTCAGTGGTTATGTTCCTCCTGAATATATCCAGAAAGGCATATACTCAACCAAATCCGATGTTTATAGTTTTGGGGTTCTACTTTTGCAAATCATCAGTAGCAAAATGATTTCTCTTTTATATGGTCCGAATGAAAACCTGAGTCTTCTTGATTATGTAAGTTTCTTTTATAATTCATTCTAAAGATATGTGGATCAAAATATTAGAATTAGAGATAAGGCTGGTTGACAAACTCCAACTTATTTGAATATTTCAGGCATATGAGCTATGGAATGATGGTAAAGGTATGGAGTTTATGGATGAATCATTGGACGACACATATTTGTCTTGTAAATTAATAAAATGCTTGCAAATAGCTCTGTTATGCGTCCAAGAAAATCCAAATGATAGACCATCCATGTTGGAAGTTTTCGTGATGCTAAAAGATGAAAACGCAAATATCATGATTCCCAAAAAGCCTGCTTTCTCGAAACAAAATGACCAATATGAATCTCCTGTGCAGTTGGAAGGTTATTCATGTAGCACTTTTTCAATTAATGATGTAACAGCTCATATGTGAGAGATAGATGAATTATAAAATGTGGCTCTTGCAGGCTTAGATATGGTTAGTTCCTTCTAGCTGCAATGTTTTTATTATTGCGAGAAAAAATTAAGTTTGTGAAATATGAAATTTAATGTGTGTACAATAAAATGCTTGTATCATTAAGAATTTAGATTTTCTGTCAAACTATGGATGATGATGTTTATTGGCATCGAAAGGATGAATAATTTGAACTATTATTGGGTGGCCTGATGATAAAAGAGTAAAATAATGTTTTATGAGCTCTTGAGTTCGAGTCTTCACAGACCCTAATAGGGGTGATCACTGAGGGACTAACCTGGTCGTCAACTTCAAGGCCCCGGGGATTTGTTGAAATATGCATCAACTGACCCGGACACTCCGATCACCAAAAAAAAATGAATAACCAAGTCTCAACATGCCCTAATAAGGGTGACCACGGCTTACTTGACTGTCAACTTCAGGGCCCCAGAAGGATTTGTTAAGGTACAGATAAGCTGATCCAGACATCCCAGTCACCAAAAAAAAAAAAAAATGAATAACTTGTTAATGGTATGTGCAAATATTTTTTTTCCAACTCATCTAGTGATGTCTTAATCTTGAATGAAAATTTTTCTATGATTTTGGGAGAGAAAGAGCTGAAGAGGAATTTCCAAGCCTTTCGGTATTAATTAATGCTATTATTTTTACAAATTTCTTGATTTGTAGAATGACATAACAATAAAAGTTTGCAATTTCAGTTTCAGAGAATGAAAATGTGAAATCCTTAAACAACGAGGAATGAAGTAGACATAAATCAAAGTCCTAAAATATTAATACACTCTTTAATTCAAATATTCCCAACCCAAACTGGAAAAATCTGGGTCCTACTTTTCAGATATTATTTGCTTTGGACACACAATTTGGAAACCCAAAGGTATGGACCTTTAGCCCATGTTTTCCCCACCTTACATGTTAAGGGAAACCCAAAATTATGGACCTTTAGCCCATGCTTTCCCCCACCTTATATGTTAAGGGAAACCCAAAGTTATAGACCTTTAGCCCATGCTTCCCCCATCGATGTGTGACTCTTGCCAAGTCATGATGAAGAACCCCTTTAGGTACCACAAGTCCTCATATGAAGCTCACCACCTACCGTCGGGTCCGGGTCAGCTCTAATACCCCATACCACTTGAAACAACCCAAGGTCCCATCTATTAGATATTGTCTATTGTGGATACAGAGTTCTCACAATTTTGTCTTTGGGCTTCAAAACCTAAAACGCATCTAACGTGTTAAGTGACACCCAAGTTTATATACCTATAGCCCAAAGATATCCCCCACCAATGTGGAACTATTTCCAAGTCATGACACAAACACTATCTATAAGTCCGTACGTATAGTAGCATAACATCATTGTCACCACCTCCACTATGTTCCAATAGGCACCACCAGTTCACCTATTTGACTTTATTCCATAGAGACACTTGACTTTATTGTGGGCACAAAGTATAGAATTTAAAAATAATCATGATAGCATTTGATTATGTGTGTTAAAAGTCAAATTAGTGAATTATTATGGTGTATGAAATATATGTGGTTGAATTACCTCCTCTTTATAATTAACTTTTAAAAATAGCTTCTATCCAAGCCCAACCACATTTGTTTGGGGCCCTCCCGCTCTCCCTCCTCCCCTGAGCTTATCCAAGCCCACTTATTAATACCTTGAACCTATCCAAGCCCATTTATCAATGTATATTCAAAATTTTAATATTTGCACCAAATGATAACTATATCATAATTTTGATGAAGTTCATAATTAATTGTATAAAAAATTATATTAAATCTAAGTCAGACCTGCTTTAGAAAGAATCCATTCGTCATCGTTACCAACATGCCATGCAAAATAACCAAGCAATCCCTCCTCCTTACCATATTTAGCTTTAGCCGAAATGCTCTTCTCGTTATCAGAACCAATCCGTTTCTGCGCTAACTTCATCATTTTCAGGGTTATATGATGCTGCAGGAGGCCCTATTAGACTTGACCAAAATGGACCAAAAAGTCATGACCCATAACATTGATCCAATCCTAGCTGTTTGCCACTCCATAAATTAGGTAATCAATGGTGCGTTGAAATCTACAGATAATTTAAGCAGAAAAGTAAAGAAGATAATCGATTTTACCCTGATTTGTTCTCAATATATAAACTACGTCCAGCATTCAAGATAAAGAAGTTTTATTGAGTTTTAAAAAATCTGCAGCAATATAATATTAATGATGACAGTTCACTCCTCCTTTCCTCTCTTTCAATTTTTTTTCTCACATTAGACATTCCGCTGTTACAACACATATAATAATAAAACCAATCACATTTAGGCTCAATTATTTTAGGCCCAAATTTTTACAAACCAATTCCAAACCCAATTACTAATTGGGTTTATCGTGTACGTCGATGTACGCTGATAATCCATTAAACCCATACAAAAATGACCCATATCCAACATGGTGTACCCCCGATCAAAGTCTAGGCCATGGAAATTGCATTGCCTTGCAAGATTTATCGAGGAATTGATGAAAGATTTTCAGGTGATGCATATTCATTGGTTGCATGCCTTGATTAAAAACCATATAATGTGATTATACTGGGAATATATTGTCACAATTTATAGGTTAATTTCTTTCTTAATATTCAACAATGAACTCCTTTATATTTCAAGTTCAATCTTAAAATAAATCGATAAATCTTCATCCTAAGCTGATCATGGAAATCATTTATCAACTCTGGAGTTGGTTAAAACATGATATTATCATGATTTTCTTCCTTCAAATACTGCTATTTAGCACTCACAATGAACTGACAGAACATCATCACGTAACCTATGATCTTAATTAACTCATTTTTTTCATATGATCAGAACAAATAAAATGATTTATATAATCTCATTATAATAACATGAGAAATTATATATGATTTATTCGCTTTAATACCAAAATACTTCCCTACTTCAATTCCATCACGATAGGTGGGAATGGAAGGAAGTTGTGTTCATCATCATGACCATCATTTTTTTTTTTTTTTTTTTTTTTTTTTTTTTTTTTTTTTAAGTTGAAATTTTGAATGGTCGCTTATATTAATTCTGGCTTTTTATGCCTAAACTATTCATTTTTCAAATAAAATACTGGAGGAAACTAAAATCACTAACATAAATTTGTAGAAGGCTCAAAATCGTATGAAGTAGCAAAGATCAACTTGGGACAGAACCATTTCTTGCATGCAATAGGGGATTTGGTATATTTGCGTCTAAAACCATATCGACAATCTTCAATTGATTACTGTTTGACAACCAAATTGATGTCTTTAGGGAATAAATTCAGTCTAGCTATGCAGGCTCTTATATTTAAAGAGGTCAGTAGACAGCAGTGATCATCAATCTGGCTATTGTAATTTTCTGATTTTCAAATATAAAGTTGTTCGAATTTCCCTTGTTTGTTCTCCTTTATATCATTACTACATAATTTTTGCAGTTTCGTTTTAGTTATATTATCTTCTACAACAGATGCAACAACCAATTCCATCAAAATTAACTCACCATCATATAAACACCAAAATTTTATCAACTCTGTATAGTTTTATGGATCAATTATGATCCACTGTGTATGGAAATACTAAAATAATAGAAATTCTTCATACCGTTAAGTTTAGACTAAATGGCAAGAGGTCAGTTTAGTAAATATTTATTAACTCATAATATAGTATGTTTTAATTGTTCACTATCGGTTCATTAACTCGTTTTAACATAGTACAAAGCATGGTGAGACATAGTTAAAATTATCTTAACAAAAAATAGTATGTTTTAATTGTTCACTATCGATTCCTAATAAAATGTTTCGTATCAGAAAAGAAAATCAATAATTGAAATGATTTTAAGATTTTTTTTTTTTTCACTTTTTTTAACTATATATGTGATAATAATAGCATGATGAATCATGAATTACTTGAGATACCATAACCATGGCATGTAGAAACAAAAGGAGAGTTGCTTCTGATGAGCTCTCACGATGGAAATTATGGCTGTCTAGAACTCATTTTTTTTTTCATATGCACAAAGCAAATATAATGGTAACTTTATAATAAGTCCCTTAAAATTTTCATCATGGCATCCATTAATTTTCAAACTTGGTGTTGACCAATTCCTCCTATTCTCTTGGGAAAAAAAACATTGGACAAGGACCTCCTAATCTTCATTTAGATCTTCAAAGACATCAATATATCTAAACAAATTGTCAATAAAAAAATTGTCGAGTTGAAATATTGCAGTGACTTAAATGTCAAACATTGGACTGGATGGCTTTCTGTAAACTATATGCGGCTTTTATAATACCAAAAACATTATACATTATGTATTTATGTACTTATACTAACACATATTCAACTAGCAATTAATAGAATGGAAAGCAATATATGTACTAACAATCATAAATGAACAACAGAATTGATTTCTTAATCATTAGTTTAGTGATATGAATATATATCGTTCATAACGAAACTATTATTATGTTTGAGTTGAAAGTATTTATATGGTACAGTCTCACCATCTCACACAATTGACATTCGATAAGGCCATCCAATAAGATGAAAATAAATAATTCAAAGAAAGAAAGTATGTATGTTTGTAATTATTATTTGGCTTATTTTTTTTATTTTTTTTGCCTTATTACACATATAATCCTTCGCGTATGTGACCACGTACATGATACATCTGCATGCATCATATTATTGTATGAAATTATTATTCGGAGTCATCTGAATACATCTACATTAATACATCAACGCTCAGCAGTTGATTCAGTCACATGACTGACCCTCCCATGACTCGTAAGCTGCCACATGCACAGAAAAAAATTTCAGATTAGTTTGAAAAATCAATCAGAATTTGCTTAAAACTCGGACCTAAAATATTAACAGTTATATAAATTTGCCTAAAAATTGTTAAATTTATAGAGTAAATAAATCTGTTCTTATAGAATAGACGTCTTCAGAAACTCTTCTAACGAAAATAAAAACAAACCTGTTTGAGAAAGAACCGATTTTTCATCATGATGAACATGCGAGGCAAAGTAGCCGAGCATTTTACTCTTCTTGATATATTGAACCTTAGTGGCAACAGTCTGTGTATCATCGTACCCAATCCAAGTTGATTTAGAGTATGCATAGTTTGAAACAGCAGTTTCATTGTACACAGTTGTGGCATATTCTTTCCTTATGAAATTCTTAATCTCACTGTAGCCAACAGACCCGTCCGAGGATAGAGCCGGCCCTTCCGTTGGTGCAAAAAAACCATGCTCGTCTTCATCCGCCAGCTTCCAGGCGTACCCGTAATACGGAATGCCCATCACGACTTTTTGCTTTGGCGCGCCGGCGTTAATCCAGGTTGTGACTCCGTAATCTTTGTTACTATTAGCTTCATCACTCAGAGGATTGTATAATGCTGCAGGAGGTCCTGTTACATGTGACCAATTCGGACCATAAAAGTCGTAAGCCTTGATATTGATCCAATCCAGGTTATGCGATACCGCCTCAATTGGGTAAGCCATGGTTTGATAATCGGATGAGTGAAAGACTGCTGAAGATAGAAGCAAAGGCGGCTTGCCTGAGGTCGCCGACTCGGTTTTAATGGCATTTCGCCACTCGTTGAGGAGTTGACCGTAGTTGGTCATCTCGGTGGGAGTGGAGGGATACTCCCAGTTAAAGTCCAGGCCGTGGAAATTGTACTTCCTTGCGAGATCTATGGAGGAATCGATGAAGGACTTTCGGGTGGTGCCTTCGCTCGCCATTGATGCATATTCGGTTTTCTTTGCACTGCCTCCACCGATTGACAGAAGGGTTTTGACATCAGGATTAATTTGTTGGACAGTTTGTGTGAAGGTCGAGACCTCGGAGTGTTTTGCATAATCAATGACAACTTGGTTGGCTTGGGAATCGACATCGGCTGCATCGGCAAAAAGGTGAGTGAAGAGAGTGGAGTTTATGTCGGAAGCTGAACACCCCTCGCCCGGAAACCAGTAGCCAGCTCTAACGGCATCAAGTCCGCCTGGAAAGCCATGACCTCCACCTGGGGCGCCGCCGTGTCCCGGAAAGCCACCGTGGCCACCTGGGGAACCGCCGTGTCCGCCTGGAAAGCCACCATCTCCACCTGGGGAGCCTCTGTGTCCGCCTGGGGAGCCGCCGTGTCCACCTGGGTAGCCATCATGTCCGCCTGGGTAGCCATATCGTCCGGCTAACGAGAATTGAAGTTGAAGAAGCAATATGAGAGTGGAAATGATGAAGAATGGAAGGATTTTGGAAGCCATTAAAGATAAAAGGTGAAGTTTTTTGCTTGACAGTAAATTACTTGGAGCTTCAACGACAACCTATATATATATACCCAAAAAAATCTCTAGTCAGAACATTATAATATTAATTTCTTGAGGATCATGTTTAAATACCATTTATTTATCTTATAAAATTGAAATGATAATTTACAATTCAAATCCAATAGTATATATTTGATAAATTAATATTAGGACGTTCTGAATAGAGAATTATTTTATATATGCATACATACATATATTCTTACAATATAATCGTGACATCAGTATTGTTTTTTTATAAATATAATATTGCAAATTATAAATCTTTTAACATAATTATATGATTAGTCAGTTTATGATCCTTAATATTACCTTTATGTAGCTAATTGATAATCGATTTGCAAATGTAACTTAGAGTGGAGTGATTATTTTCCAAGTACAACAATCTGTAATATCAAATCTATTGAGAAGGCCACCTAGAAGTTAAGGTAGAATTTGATTAAGAATCTTCTTTATCGAGCACTCTTAATATTTTTAAAGATCTAATGACATATATACATTGATGAATATATATGATTTAAATTTATTTCCATATATGATTTAAATTTATTTCTTACTTTTATTTTTTAAATATGTTTATCACGATTTGTATTTTGTTCAGATAAAACTCGAATTCAGAGCAAACCATGGTCCATAGAACTTTGGGATGTATAGCAACAAAGGCATCCCACATCTATTCATTTTTATCTTTTTAATACTTTCAATTCAATATGAGTAATATTACGCTGACTTTCTCTCACAAACCCGACATAGTAGTTGATAATTGGTTTCTGATAAATTTTCCTATTTGATGAATTCAAGTTAAACCAATTATTAACTATTATATCGAGTCTGTGAGAGAAAGTTTGTAAGATTTATTTGTCAGTCTATCTTTATTGATTTAATATATATCTTTAACGCTTTTTTTTTTTTTTCTCCTAACTACCAATCTCCTATATAAAATGAAAATTTTTGCCATGATTAAAGCATATTTTTCATACTAATAATAATCAAAAATTTCTTTTAGAATATTTTACATTCTTTGATTTGATTGGTATCTATAAATTTAGCTCCACATCGTAAACAAACCCAAAAATACTATCCAAAGTCCAAACTACCTAAACTCATACTTCACGTGGGAATTATAAATTAATATCATAGGGCCCATAAATTCGGATAAAACTTGGAATAAGTAGCATATATTATAATTTTGACAACATTAAAAGCCTAATTATTCATTTATATCTTAATTTAATTGTGATATATGAATTAAAGTCAAAAGATAGTAATTATTATTGTTAACTTATCAACTACCTACACACTCAGAAAATATATACATATATTAAAATATTGGCACTATTTCCTCTTAATCTTTTAATATTATGATCTTAATTACTCTCCAAATTAATTATTATTATAAAATAGACTTATAAAATGGTACCTCGTGTTCTTCATTATAAGCTAGTTTCATGGCAAAAAGATACAACTTACAATTTTAGTATAGCACATTGAATTAGGTAAAAATATATATGGCATTGACAATGATAATTAAATGAATATAATTTTTTGTGTGATTAAGATATTAATTAATTAGTTGATAAGATTTCTAGAAAGATTAGTTAAATTTATTAATTTTTCATTAAGGATAATATGAAGGATGTTCTCTTCATCCTTGCCTACAGTCTCACAAATTCAACGAGTCTTGAGTCTTTGATTTAAAATTTTCGAGTAATATTAGGTATACAAACTATCTATACAAATATTTTTAATTCAAAATTACCCAATAATCATAAAACACATCAGTTTGTATGAGAGAATTTATACATGAAGTATTATCCAAAATAATTTCACAAATGGATAAGAGGCATACATGATTTGTGGATTACAAAAACAATCTAAAAAGTAATCGAAACCAAACAAACAAACAATCACACACAAATAACGTAAAATAGTAAAGAGAAAGTACACACGTGATTTATTTTGGTTTATCCAAAAAAGAGACTACGTCCAACAGAGTCAATATTATTAAAATATCTTATCACCTCTTTCGTTACAATGAATGTATTTATCTATAATTTGTTATATCACTCATACAAGAAAATAATATATTTATATATCAGGTTTAATGAAAAAAACCTGATATTATTAGAATCTCTTTTCCTAAGCCCACATCATATTAGAATTTTTATTGCTTAAAGAATTCCTACCATGAATACAACTTTCTTGCCCCTTATTTTTGAAGTGGCTCCAACAATTCAAAGGACAAAATATTTTTAGTTGATTTGATTGATATTTCTATTGTATCATATACCTTGAAGGTACAAAATATTGATTAGGTTGACTCACATTGTGATAGTGATCTTTGTGTCTGAACTAATTTGAAGTCTTCATCAAGAGAAAATAAATAAATATATAAACCTTGTTTTTTCTCTAATATTATTATTGATATATGTTTTTGGATTTGATGTATTGTTCAACATAAAAATTTATTTAATCCTAAAATCTATGCACAACCCAAGTTTTATTTCAAAATTATTAAAATTTTTAAGTGAAACTTATTCTTATACGGCAAGTATAATATATCCATGGACGGACCTACATAGTCATGATCGAGCGAGGGTTTGAGACCCTACTCAAAATATATATATTAATCTAGGAGTAATAGTACACTATACTTATTTACTTTTTTCTTGTTTTATATTATATTATTTTAAATTGATAACCTCTAAAATTAATTCTTGGGTCTGACCTTCAATATAGCAACTTATTTACTTTTTTTCTTGTTTTATATTATATTATTTTAAATTGGTCCCCTCTAAAATTAATTTTTGGTCTGACCTTCAATTGATTAATAAATGTATCATCCTATCTTAATAGTTCTTTATTTAAATAGGAAAATTTCAAGTGTAATAAGCTGATGAAGTTTAGAAGTATATGATAATTAATATCGTGAAAAATGACATATAAAATACAGAATAAAGCTCTTGTCTCACTTGATTATCGTTACAACAGAGAGTAAATTGAGCTTATAATTCTCATTATTCAAGTAATTATTTATTAGTATGAAATGAGTCATCTCTTTTTTTCCATGATCTTTATTCTTCAACATATTTCCTGTCTGTAAACTTGCCTATATAAGCTCATCCCCATGTCTGCGAAGCTGCAAGTACCAGAGAAAATAAATCCATTAGAATANTTTTTGGTCTGACCTTCAATTGATTAATAAATGTATCATCCTATCTTAATAGTTCTTTATTTAAACAGGAAAATTTCAAGTGTAATATACTGATGAAGTTTAGAAGTATATGATAATTAATATCGTGAAAAATGACATATAAAATACAGAATAAAGCTCTTGTCTCACTTGATTATCGTTACAACAGAGAGTAAATTGAGCTTATAATTCTCATTATTCAAGTAATTATTTATTAGTATAAGATGAGTCATCTTTTTTTTCCATGATCTTTATTCTTCAACATATTTCCTGTCTGTAAAGTTGCCTATATAAGCTCATCCCCATGTCTGCGAAGCTGCAAGTACCAGAGAAAATAAATCCATTAGAATAGGATACCAACTAAATCGTAAATACTGTGTCTCAAGTTCGAATGTCCACATTATTTTAAAATGTAAACCTTATTAGCTAGTATTTACAACGTTTATCGTTTAGTGTTTATTATCATCAGTTAAAGTTTCTAAAATTTTAACTCTACGGAGTTAGTCCGACGGTCAATGGAGTTTGCTCAATTCCTTAAATTCTTAAATTCAAACCTTAGGTCATCTAACATAATAACGTTATGACTTATTTGATTATTTAAACTTGTATGGTGTTTAATGAACTCTAATATTAGTTAAGATACGCGTAAGTTAGCTTGGATACTCCATTACCAAAAACAAAAAAAGTTTCTAAAATTTTTGAGAATGTAAATAGTTAAACAAATTATGACAAAAAAAAAATGAGAATTTTTACTAACCTAGACGAGAGAGAGCCCAATTATCATCATTGGCAATGTGCCAAGCAAAGTAACCAAGCAAGTTTTTCCCCTTGGCATAATTGACCTTGGTAGAAATACTCTGAGTGTCATCATAGCCAATCCAAGTTGTTCCGGAATAGCAATAGTCCGAAACAACAGTGGCATTGAACACATGGGTCGCTTTATTTTGAGCTATAAATTGCTTGATTTGCTTGTACCCCGTGGCGCCACCGTTCACCACTCCACTCGTCGGTGCCCAAAATCCATGGTTATTAGCATCGGCGAGCTGCAATGAATGGCCGAAATAGGGAAATCCCAGGACTATTTTTTTAGCGGACAAACCAGCCTGAATCCAGGCTGTGATTCCGGCGTTGCCGCTGATTTGGGTTCCAGGACTATATAAAGCTGCAGGAGGTCCAGTGATTCTCCCGGAATTGGAATTGTAAAAGAAGTCGTAGGCCATTACATTGATCCAGTCCAGGCTGTTTGAGATAGCCTGGACAGGGTTGTTGACTCCGAAATAGTTTGAAGAGTAAGAAACCGCAGCGGAGAGAAGCAAAGCTGGCTTGCCGGAGCTTCTAGCCTCTGCGGCGACAGCTGCACGCCACTCGTTGAGGAGGGAACCGAAGTTGGCCATTTCCTGAGCGTTTGCCGGGTACTCCCAGTCAATGTCAAGGCCATGGAAGTTGTTGTTTCTCGCTAACTGTATCGAAGAATCGATGAACAATTTTCTTGAACTAGCCTGGCTAGCCATAGACGCAAAGGCTGCCTTAACGGCGTCTCCACCGCCGCCACCAATGGACAAGAGGGTTTTGACGGAAGGGTTTTTCCGTTGGACAGTTGCGGTGAAGGTGGAGAACCTGGCCTGGTTTCCTGATGAAATGGTGACCCGGTTGGTTTGAGGATTAAGATCGGCAAAGGCGCAGAATAGGTGAGTGAAAAGAGAGGAATCGATGTCGGAAACCGCATATTCACTGCCGGAAAACCAGTAAGCAGCTTTGACAACATTTTGGCCGGCAGAGAACTGGAATTGGAGAAGAAAAAGAAGGCTGCAGGAGAGGATAACATGAAGGATTTTTGAAGCCATTGTTAGAGAACAGTAAGCAAGCAATATTTCTCAGTTGCTTGATGCCTCAACTGAGAATAGAAAGCCATATATATACAAGGTAAATAGAAATTTTCAAGTCAGATTGCGTGTTAAATCAATCAATCACAATTAAAAGAAATCTTGACCAAGTTTCTTCATCACATAGATATCCATAAACAGGGATAATAAAATATTTATTTTATAGAGATGACTTGATACAACCGAACTCACATAAACTATAATATTGACTGACTAGTAAGTAATTTGTAGCTTCCTTATGTTAAGGTTGGACTTTAAGAACTATATAGAAGCACTGGAGTGTCGTGATAGAAGAGTAAATTTCGGTGATGTCTTATTTCTAGTCAAAAATATCTGCTGGAGATTATTATATTGGACCCCTGGAAGATAAGTCCAACAAATTTATTGACAGCTTGGGTCAAAATATACCAGATGGCTGTTTTTTGGTCGGCATCAGAGGCAAGAAATTAATTCTTTACGGTCGCTGTCATGCAGAGGCGGACCCAGCCCTTCGGCCTACCCTCACAATTTTTTATAAATTATACTTATAAATTTATAAAAAAACTTATTATTAATATAAATATTTAACGTTCATCTTATATTAAAAATTTAAAACTCTCTCTATTTTTTTTTACAAACATCTATTTTTAATAATTTTATCCCTAAAATTCTTTATTCTATCATTCTCTCTTTTATTTTCTCTATGTTATTCATTCTTAACTTTTAAAGACTAAAATTATTAAAACTTTCACGTATTAAGGTATCACAATTAGCTTCATTTTCTATTTTCTCAGTTTTAGGTTCGTGTATTACTCATTTCATTTTAGTTTATTTTAAGGTTGAATCATATTTATTTTTTGGAGGTTTTTTATTCTAATTTGATGAAAAAATGCGTAGATCTTGTGAGTTTGTTTTATGTTTAAGAATGTTTCCGCTTTCCCGAATTAAACACTAACTATATTTTACTTAACGTTGTTCTTCAATCTTCACCCACCAATTTTCTACCTTTCAAACGTCATCGTTTAACTGTTTAAAATTATTAAAAAAATTGAGTTATTATCTATGTTTATACTAAGAAAATTTTCTTTTTTTTTATTAATTCATATTAAAAGTTAAGGCAACATTGACTTAATTTAAGTTTTGGTTGACTTTAGCTTAGGCTAAGTCTAATCAAAGTCATGAAAATTTTTATTGTCATCTTTGAAAGCTGAAAAAAAAAAATAAGAAATAAGAAATTTGTGTATAGCATTTTTGGTGGATTGTGATTGTTGTAAAATCTTTTAATTATATTGAATTTAAGTAGATCGTTAAATTCCCGTGGTCTTTTACTCTCTTTAATTGAAGAGATTTTTCCATGTAAAAATTTTTCTTGTGTTTTCTCGTGAATTGAATGTTATTTTCAACATAATTTGCTCAAGGTTTTGTTTCTCGTAGATTTATTCAAGTGGTAAAGTATTGTGTTGTTATATTATTTTCTTTCAGATTATTGATATCATATTATTTTCTTCGCTTAAAATTTGGTAATTTTTTTAAATTTTTTACTAGTTGTTTGACAAACAATGACGGAGGCACGGAGGCCCAAAGGCAAAAATACTAGTCCACCTAGAGGTGGGTATTTGGGACTGGGTCCAAAAACCTAACCAAAAAACTTGGTCCTAGGAGGCCTGATCCCAAAACAGGACCAGGCCTAAGGAAGAGGGCCTGGTCCCTCCACTGGGACCTCCTTCGGTCCCAGGCTCGGGTCCAAATTTTTTTAAACATTTTCGTTTTAGTCCTTTGTATAATTACATAAAACCCTCTATCAATTTTGAAAGAAACATAAATTATAGGGGTTAAAAGAAAATTTTAAAAGGTATGTGACTTTTATATGAATTAATAAAAGAGGGAATTTTTTTTAATAAACATAGATAGTAACTCAAATTTCTTTAATAATTTCAAACAACGAATGGTGACGTTTAAAAATAGGAAAGTGGTGGGTGAGGAGAAAAATAACGTCCTTAAAATATAGTTAAGGTTTTAATTTGAGAAAGCAGGTTCATTCTTAGACAGAAAATACAAAATAACTCACAAAATTATATATTTTTCTCTCAAATTAGAATAAAAAACCTCAAAAAGAAAAAAAAATGATTCAATCCTTAAATAAACTAAATTGAAATGAATAATATATATACCTAAAATCTATAAAAGCGAAAACGGAGCTAATTATAACACTTGAGTAGTGAAATTACAATTTCAGTCTTAAAATTTTAAAAGAGAATAACATGAGAAAGAGAAAGAGAGAGTAAAGAATTTGCGAAAAAATCATAAAAAAAACAGGTAAAGCTGTGTAGAAAAACACTGGAAAAAATTTTAAACTTTTAATATGATGTGGGCTTGGAATATAATTTATAATATTAATAACAAGTTTTTTTGTAGACCTAGATGTAACACCTGCTCTTTACTACGATTCTTATAGTTCATACTATGTAAATATAGATATATAGTGTATGAAAAATAGTGGGCTCAAATTTTTTCTTTACTCAATAAAATATAATTCTTTACAAATACAATATACTATGTATTAAAACTTTCTACTTAAACAAAATATTAAACTGGTGGACAGTAGTGCCAATACTCTCCGCTCCCCGACGTCCATCCGACCACTACTCCTAGTTCCTGCAAAACAAGGAAGAACAGTGGGGTGAGCACAACAATACTCAGTAAGTAATCCTCTACTGCCTGTCCCCACAACTCACTTTAGGTTCTTTCCTTACTCTACCGTTTTCTATTCAATTCTCACTGTTTACTCTTCTTGCTAATACTTTATTCTCCTTTAATCTGTTCTGCTCTTTTTATTCTTTTTTCTTTTGTTTTCATTCTCTTTCTTCTTCTCCTTATGCTTACTCACCATGAAGGAAAATCATGGTTCTCTCTTATTCTCATCAACTCCACCATGAAGGAAAATCATGGGTCTCTCTCTTTTATTCTCGTATAATCTCACTAACATGAAGAACTCATGGTGCATGAGTAAGAGATGTACATGCAATAATACAAAGAACTGCATGTTTCTTCTTCTACTCTCTATTCTTACTAACTCAAACTCTTTATTCTTTCTCATACTCTCTCTCTTCTATCTCATTCTCATAATTCATTTCTACTAACTCGCTCTTTGAATGTCACGGCCCCATCTTACTTGAGGCACGGCCGGGACTCTCCCGCTCTACGTGACTTCTACGATTCTCTTTTTGTCTCTCTTTCTCATAACTCTTTTTCTGTTAACTTTTGTGTAGGTGCACGGCTCATCTTACCGGAGGCACGGCTGGGTATATCCCACTCTTCGTATCCTACTCTTATCTTTCTATTCTTTCTCATGTTTGCTCATTCTTCTCACTTGATGTCACGACCTCATCTTACCGGAGGCACGGCTGGTGGAGATCACAAAGCACCAACCCACTCTTCGTGACTTCTACTCATTCTTTGCCGATCGGACTCAGTACAGCATGGATTCGGAACCCTTGCACGTGAGTGTATTCTCTTCCTCTCTGAATGTCACGGCCCCATCTAACCGGAGGCACGGCTGGGGATCACAAGCACACCTCTCGTGACGTTACTCATCACTCACGGGTTTCCCATCGCACAACCTACTCTATTCTCTTCATACCACTTTTCTCTCTTTTATTCGCTAGGCTCAATCTCTCTTTCTCTTTACTATTAGAGTGTTCTCATTTTCTTTACTCTTAGAGTTGTTATTCTCAACATTCTCTACTCTTGCTCACTCAAACTATACTCATAGTATAGCTTATACTCAAAATTCTCTACTTCTTGCTCAAGCTAGTACTCATTTCTTCCTCAAGCTAGTACTCATAGTATGGCTTAACTCTTAGGGTAGTCTATTCACAAAGTTCTCTACTCTTTTCTAAGCTATATCTTAGAGTATTTTATTACAAAGTTCTCCACTCATCTCAAGTGTTAGAGTCATGAAAGTGACTCTATTTTGGTGATAAAATACCCCATGTGTGATTTAATTGAAGTTATTGAGATAATTAAAGAATTTATGAATTTATTCACGAAAATCGCTTCCTAATATTTTCTTATGAATTTAACGTGTTTGGAATGATTTTGGAAAGTATATGAGTTGATATTAGGTTATGGTTTATGGATTAAGCGTGATTTGTCTCATTATGCTGTTTAGGGGTAAAATGTCATGTTTTAAGGGGCTGATTTGTCACTTTTCAATTATGTAGGGACTAAACTGATATTTTACAAATTATTCTATAAAGAAAAGTGCAGATCGCGTTTTCCAGGGAGGCTGTTCACCCAGTTTTTTGACGACCCTTCGTCTCCCTCCGGCGACCCTTCGTCTCCCTCCGGCGACGATTCATCTCCCCATGCATCGATCCGTCATCAGCCACCGCAACACCAGTGAAACGCCCACAACACACCGCGACGCTTCGCCTTTTACCACCGCTGTCGTTTCCTTTCCCGGCCAGTTTGGCCGTTTTTCAGCGACGTTCTAGCTCCCCAAGGGTAGATCTTCATTCTCCACGGCCGGATCTACACTTCCCTTGCTTCAGCCGCCGCGAAAACCGTCGAGATCCGCGATTTAGCCGTCGCGACTCTTCATCTTCCAGGCCAGATCCTGCTCATTTCGACGACTTCTCACCTCCAGGACCTGATCTGAACTCCCCATCACTAGAGCTTTCCATCAGTACCTTCGGATCCCATTTTCGCCACTGTTTTCCGAAGACCTGCCGAAAAATTTACGTTTTCCGCGAACGCGGCTGTTCGTATTCCGGGCTGTCCGTTGGTGTTTTCGGCCCTTCTTCGCCATCATATCGTTGTCGGTTACCTCCTCTTCGCCATCGATCAGCTCCGTTTCCACCGTTCGGCCTCCGTCATCACTACCATGAGCGGCTAAGCTCCCGTTTGTCCGTTACGGTGTAGGCGAGATCGAGATTGACTCCACTGATCTCCTCATAGCTCTCGACTAGTTGGATGAGCCCGAATGTTGGATATTTGTATTGTTTAGTTTCTTGTATTCAGTTATTCTGTTCTTTTGTTAATT